TTGAGACCGTCTTGGGGCCGTCTTGAGGCCTCTTGGACACGTGCCGGAGGCCATCTGGACCCGTCTGCCGCTGTCTTGGGCCATCCTGGAGGCCACCTTGCGCTCTCGGAGGCCCTCTCGGAGGCCCTCTTGGGCCATCTTGGACGCTGCTATGGGCCCGCCCCCTCGCCTGCCGTGCACGCGAGCGCGCGCGGGAGCGCGGCGGGCCTCGCCGCCAAGGGTCGGCCAGCTGCCGCCGGCGGCGGTGCCGCGCGGGGCCGCGCGCCAGGGGGCGCGCGCCGGCTCGGGCCAAAAGAGGCCTCCCAGAAGGAGGGGCGTGCTTTGACACCACCACCACCAGAAGTTGGAGGGGGGGGTCCTCCTCCTCCTCCTCCTTCCTCCTCCTCCTCCGCCTCCTCCTCCTCCTCCTCCTCCGCCTCCTCCTCCTCCTCCTCCTCCTCCTCCTTCCCCCCTCCAACTTATGGTGGCCAGCTCGGGCCAAAGAGGCCTCCAAGAAGGAGGGGCAGTGTTAGGAGGCAACTGCTGGGAGGTTTTTTCGTCGGAACAACTGAACAGGATAAATCCCCATTGTGTGGGGCTGTTATACCGGAGTGGGCCTCGGATTCAGCCGGATTCAGCGGGATGAAGTGGGATTAAGCGGGATTAAGCCGGATTAAGCCAGATTTCGGACCAGGGCAAAACAGAATTTGGCCTCCCAGGAGTTGCATCCGAAGCAGTGGTAACGACAAGCGCGCGGCAAGGAGGCGCGCGGCGTGTCCGCCGGCGACGATCTCTCACGTGGCCTACGAGTCTGCACGGGCCGGCTTGTGCCGCGATCGCTGGCCGAGCAGCGCTCGGGCGTGTGGAGGAGACCGGCAATCGTGCTTCGTTTACAACGCCACGGCCAGCGTGCAAGAACACTGTGCGAGTGCCTGGTTAACTGTCAACACCTCCGAGTGGCATGGCTGCCGTCATCAACACAATCCTGCTCTTCATCCCCTCCTCCTCCTCCTCCTCCTCCTCCTCCTCCTCCTCCTCATCATCATCATCATCATCATCATCATCATCATCATCATCATCATCATCATCAGCAGCAGCAGCAGCAGCAGCATCATCATCATCATCACCATCATCATCTGCATAATCATCCTCATTATCATCAGCATCATCATCAGCAGCAGCAAAATACGCATCAGCATCAGCATCAGCATCAGCATCATCAGCATAATCAGCATCATCATCATCATCATCGTCATCATCATCGTCATCCTCATCATCCTCATTATCCTCATCATCCTCATCATCCTCATCCTCATCCTCATCCTCCACCTGTTCCTCCTCCTCTGCCTCGTCCCCAACCCTCCCCATACGCATCTGTCGAGTCCTCCTCGATCAAGGAAACGGTGCTGCTGCAGAGCTCTTGTGACGCGCAGGCGCATGATCGTTCAAGGCAATTACGCGTAAACGATCATGAAGACCATTGCACCGACACAGCTTCGATGATACGAAGCCAGAAGGATGCGTAGAATTATAGATGTCACGATGCGGTGGCTCCACCATCCTGTACGATCACAAATGCTGAATCGCAATACTCACCGATCGACGAATGATGCGCGCGAGCTACGAAACTGGGGGCACCTAACTCGAGGAGGGCACACCACTGAAACATGAAGCCTGTGGGACGAGTGACACACATCGAGCAAGAAGGCATGCAACTGTGGTCTCTCCTGTGAACGGTAGCTGCATCACGCGATCGGTGTCCCGTGCACCTGGGTAATTCGGCCAATTGCCCACTGTCTTGCTCGCACGATCATCCTCTGCCTCGTAGCTCATCCGCGTTCCCTGGTGGTTGCAGCTGGAAGGAAAACCCTTGCCGCCACACGAGCTCCTCCCTCTCCGCACTTTCCTGCTGCAGCCTGCCCATACGCAAGCGAAAACCTGCTTCCCCAACATCTGCGTTCTCAACATCTGCTAGATTGCAATGGCCTGAACATCTGCTCAATTGCAACTGACCGTCACCTCTAGTTCCCACTTGTCCCCTGCTCCGTGCTTCACCCACATGCGCATGAACTCACATGCGACACACCCTTCCCGAGGAAAACATTGCCAGGGCTTTGAAAACCGGCAACGGGGCCTTCGTCCGAGCTTCTTCATCGAAGTGCCACGAAGAGGGACGAAAGTACACAAGAGTAGAAGAACCTCGAAGACCCCCTGGACAACCACTACAGGCGCTCATACTATGGCTGGGCCTCGGTGCTCGCAGCAGCATCTCGTCATTTCGCCATCTAGTCGTCCTTCCTGTCCTCCCTCCTCCTCTGAGGGATGCAGAAAAAACGACCCTACCCTGGGTTACACGTGCGTGGTCTGTAAACCTCCTGGCTACGTCCAAAGCCTAAAGAGCCGCCAGGACGCAGGAGGTTCAGCGCACAGCGCCTCCTAAACCAGGGTAGGGGCGTTTTTTGCGCCCTTGATCCTCACTATTCTATCTGCTCATCTTCCTCGGGCGTCGAGCAGCCACTACCAGGCACATGTCTGCCACACATCTGGACGAGTACAGCAAAATCGCTGGTTGAGACTCTTCCAAGGAAAGCCTACAGCAGAAACTTGGCTTTGAGGAAGCTTGGAGCAGGAGAAGGGCGTCGACGACGAGGGAGGGTGTTGACGCCCTTCGTCACTCTCTCGCCCGAAATGGGGGCCGAAGACCTCGTCGCCACGGCTGGACTGGCGTCGGAATCCCGAACGCTCCTGGAGACATCTGGGGGTCGCTGGGGAACGAAACCAGGACCTTTTTGCTGGTCTTCCTTCCTGGCCCCCAAAAAATCCGCACGAAATTCGGTTCCAAACCCGGAGCGACATTCTCCGGGACCCGCCGAACGAATCAAGGCAGAGGAATTCTGCAGTCGATCCCTGCTCGAACCGTCGCGCTCTCGAAGCCGCCCCCCCCCGGGAGAGCGGCGGCTCTCGGCAGCCCAGGGCGCGAGGCGAGAGGCGGAGGTCCCCCTCGAAGCCCCCGCGGGCGACCGTCACCGCGAGAGGAGGCCTCGACTCCGACGACGCTGGGATCGAAAACCGGGATACGTCGACTCCCTCCTTCTCCTCCTCCGCCTCCTCCTCCTCCGCCTCCTCCTCCTCCTGCTCCTCCTCCGCCTCCTCCTCCTCCTCCTCCTCCGTCTCCTCCTCCGCCTCCGCCTCCTCCTCCGCCTCCTCTGCCTCCTCCTCCGCCTCCTCCGCCTCCTCCTCCGCCTCCTCCTCCGCCTCCTCCGCCTCCTCCTCCTCCTCCTCTTCCTGTGGCCCCCGCGGGGCCGGCCCCCGCGGCTGCACCCCTCGTCCAGGCGAGAGGATCCGAGACGGGGATAAGTCTGACAGGATACATGTCGACCCCTACAGTGGGGGCCCAATCACAAGAGACCCTCCACAAGAAACCCAACCCCGAGACCCCAGGACGTCTATTGATTTTTGGTGTAGGAGCGTCACGCCTTCCACAGCAAAACCATCGAAACCCAAGAAGCCCAGGGCACCCTGGAGGCAGGCAGGGTGTTTCTTGGCATGGGTCTCCACTGTATCCCAGGCTTTTGGAGGCTTGCGAGTGGACCAGAACTTTGGGGCCCAGCTCCAGGATCTACGATTGGGTGCGTCCGAGTGACCCCTCTCGGGGTATATCCCAAGGTCCCCGTCCTTTCCTGAGCGGCTTCATTCCTCGTCGAAAATTGGGGGTCGGGGGAGAAACAGCGGCTCTGGAGGATGTCTCGGGCGCCGCGGCCTTCTCAGAGCCTTCCGGAACTCTCTGAGAGCGTTCTGGAACGGGTTGATCCTCGTCCTAGCCTTAGGTCGGGCATGTCCCCCTACAGGCGGATAGTGGACGAACAATTACAAACACATGCAAAATATACTTGAAAAAGTTTGTAACAAATCATTGAAACAATGCCCCAAGACTATACATTTTTGACTATTCTTCCTGCAGATGGACAAGCCCAACTTCATTACTAGCCCCCCGTCCGACTCCTCGCGGGACGAGAACCCGGCCCCGGGGAGCGGGCCGGGACTTCCGAAGGGGCCCGAAACGGGAAAAACTCAAGGCACCGAGCGTCTGGGCAGGGAGGAGGGGGGGGCACACCGGGAAGCTGGAGACACACACCGGGCCGGGCCCAAGGGGGGGATAGCAAAGGGGAGGGGTTGTGAGAATCGGCTCACGTATATAGCTGATGTTCCCGGCGCCTCCCGGCGCCGGAGGCGGCCGATGCGTCGAGGAATGGGCCCCTCAGTGGGGCTGAAACCAGCTGCAGTCCCCTTTCCCAATTCGTAACGAGGAGCTGTAGGCGGCCTATGTATCGAGGATGGGCCCCACATTTCGTAACCCCTGCTTTCCCAATCCCCCCCTCTCGTCCGGCCCGAACGCACCTCGCGGGAGCCAAGCCCCGGAGCGGATCCATCCTCGCCCGACGAGCCCCGCCCGACACGCGGAGGGCGCCCAGCTCCGCCCCGAGGGAAGGAGGAGGGGGAGGAGGGGGAGGAGGGGGAGGAGGGGGAGGAGGAGGAGGAGGAGGAGGAGGAGGAGGAGGAGAAGGAGGAGGAGGAGGACGAGGAGGGAGAGGAGGGGGAGGAGGAGGAGGAGGAAAGACGAGGAGGAGGAGGAGGAGGAGGAGGAGGAGGAGGAGGAGGAGGGGAAAGGAGAAGGCAGGAGCAGGAGGTATAGACGAGCGCGGTGCACTACTCGCAAAGCAGCTATACTCGCAAGTGGCCCAGATCCCCCCCCCCGGAGGATGTACGATGAATTACATCAAAGCGGACATGTGGTGTTCGGACGCTTGCGGGTCGGCACTGTGCGAGTATAGTAGAACGCGCTCGGTGAAGATAGGGGGGAGGGGGCCACACGAGGAGGGGATCCTGACTGTGCCAGAGGCTCCGGCTGCACTGGGGGGTTGCGCCCTGCAGCTGCCTGCGCCACGGGCCTCCATTCGGGGAGCGCGCGCAGGTGACCCCCTGGAACGCAGGAGGGTCGCCCCGGCCAGTGCTGCCAGTGCTCAGGACGACGTGAACAGCTTCTTCACGAACGCCTGAGCGAGGATCAGGAACGGGTCTTACGCGAGGGGGCATGGCGACCTTACGCCGCGGCTTGCGCGAGCCGCCAGCGCGGCACGCTGCATTGAGAGCGAGGGCGCTCACGCGCGACCTTCCGCGGGCAGCCCGCGCGCGAATGCCTGCGCAGTCGACCCCGCTTTTATGCGTCGCCTGCCTGGTAGTCCACGGTCTCGCGGTCTCCGCAGCCCCTCAGCATGCTCGCCAGCTCCTTGTCCGTGACCGTCTGGCCCGCCTGGCCGATCACCCCACGCAGTACCTCCTCCAACGTGTCGCGCGGCATGACGCCGCTCGGGTGAACCCTGCGGAAGTCCTTCAGAATCCCAACGTGCGGCGCCATCCCCTCCAGGGACGGGTACCAGCTCTTCAGGAGGAGGATCAGGTCCAGGACGTTCTCGGGGGTGTTGTCACCAACGAGCCCGTCCAGGATGAACTTGTGGTCGAAGAACGACACCCGGTTGGAGAACTCGATCTCCCCCATCGCGTTCCCCAGCCGCTTCTGGATCTTCTCCTCCGTTTCGGTGCCCCGGCCCCGCAGCCGCCGCTCGAGCTCCTCGTGGGAGGGCGGGTTGATGAAGATGAACCTCGTATGAGGTCGGGCATGTCCTCCTACAGGTGGATGTTGGACGAAAAATTAGAAATAGTCGAAAGACATCCCAGAACGAACAAAAATAGTCAAAAATTCGTCACCTGACTACTTTTTTACAATTTTTGAATCTATTCCCCCTGTAGAGGGACGGGCCCGACCGAAACCTCGTGCCGTCCCAGAGGCCCTGCTCGTGGATGCTCTTGGCGCCCTGCACGTCGATGTCCAGGATGCTCGGGTCGGGCGAAAGGGGGGGATAGCAAGGGGGGGGGGAGAATCAGCTCACGAAGCTGATTTTCCTGGCGCCTCCCGGCGCCGGAGGCGGCCATGTATCGAGGAATGGACCCCTCGGTGAGGCCGAAACCAGCTGCCTGCAACAAATTTCGTAACCCCCCCTTTCCCAATCCCCCCCTTTCGCCCGGCCCGAGATGCAGATCTGCCCGCTCCTGCGCACGGCCTCCACCGCCTCCCGGGAGGTGCCGTACATGTTGCCGTGGACGTGGGCGTGCTCGATGAACCTGCCCTCCTCGACCCCCCGCTGCATGGCCTCCATGTCCGTGAAGTGGTACGCGACCCCGTCCTCCTCTGGTGGAACCAAGAATGGCATAGACATAGAAACTCAGATGTGTTTTTCTTTTTGAAAAAGGTAGCAGGCGGTCTTGCGTAGTTCTCGCCTGGCCGAGCTGTAAGCCGTCGCAGACGAAGAGGCCCCTTGAGGGCACGGCGGAGTGACCATGAGCGACTTGCGTTAATCAGCTGCATCACGTTGCTGTTTGATAGAAACTCGGAGGTGTCCGCGCGGACTTCTTGGATCCGCGCTGGACCCCCCTCCCTGGCGCGCGGCGCGCGCCCGGGGCGGCGCCGGAGGCGCCGCCAGGGGGCCCCGGCGCCGGGACGAGAAACCCGCACGGAACTCCGAAGATTATTTGTATGTCTATGCCATTTCGGGAGCGGCCAAGAGGGGGGTGTCCAAGACCCTGACCTTCCAGGAGGGCTAAAAAATAGCACCCGACTTAAAAACCTATCCCAAAGCTATTATACGTCTTGGTTTTAGGCTGTTTCGCTCAGCTTTTTAGGTTTTTAGGTCTCCAGTGCTACAAAATAGCTCTCTGGGAGGTCAGGGGAGGGGGGGTGCAAATCATGGCCGGCGGCATGTGCACGGCCCAGCGGGGGGGGCCTGGGACGTCATGAAATAGGGAGAGGCGCCACGAGATCTGCGGAGATATCATGGCCCGCGCCATGATATCCCCCCCCCTAGTTATCATCCCCCTCATTTTTCCGCCCCAGACCAGTCTTCGTTCCCCCCCTCGCCTCGCCGGGCCGCGGGCCGCGCGTGGTGTGGGACACGGAGAAGCCGAACCTGCCCGGGAAGACCTCCAGGAGCTTCTTGATGAGCACGCTCTTGCCGACCCCGGAGGGCCCGCAGATCACCTCTCGAGGAGAGGGGCGGGCACGGCGCCCACCGCTGCACAGCTTGCGTCGGGCATGTCCCCCTGCGGGGGCGGGCCTTGGAAGAGAAACTAGAAAAAAACAAGTCCAATATCGTGTGAGGGGCTGGGCTGTTCGCGTCGTCGTCTCCGTCAGTCGTCGTCTCCGCCGTCCCCTTTCCCTGCACCCTTCCTCAAGCTTGTCAGCGAGAGAAAAATCTAGCAGTGTCGTAGTCGAGTCGATGGGAAGTCGAGTCGATGGGAAGCCCCTTCCCTTTGATCCCTTCCCCGCGCCGTGGGGGGGGCGGGGGTCCCAGGAGGGGTCCTGGGGGGGGTCCTGGCTGGGGTCCGGGGACGTTTTCCCCCCCATGGGGGCCATGAGGCCTCCGGAAGCATACCAAGACAGGCCAAGAGTGCCCCAAGAGGCCGCCGAGACGGTCCAAGAGGGTCCCAATCGCCAAACGATCGGTCAACAAAACCGCCATCACGCCCAAGATGTTCCCCAGAGGCCCCAAGAGGCCCACAAGAGGTCCCCAGGAAGCCCGAAGAGGCCCTCAAGAGGCTGCCAAGAGGCTCCCAAGAGGCTCCCAAAAGGCACCATCCCTGAGGGCTCTGGCCCACGTCAGCGTCGTCGTTGCCGCCGCCGCCGCCGCCGCCGCCGCCGCCGCCGCCGCCGCCGCCGTCGTCGTCGTCGTCGTCGTCGTCGTCGTCGTCGTCGTCGTCGTCGTCGTCGTCGTCGCCGCCGCCGCCGCCGTCGTCGTCGTCGTCGTCGTCGTCGTCGTCGTCGTCGTCGTCGTCGTCGTCGTCGTCGTCGTCGTCGTCGTCGTCGTCGTCGTCGTCGTCGTCGTCGTCGTCGTCGTCGTCGTCTCTCTTCAGGGTTGGCGGCACCGGCCGTAAGGCCTTCGCAATATCAAAAAAATACTCAAAAATAGTTGAAACATGTGCGACATATCGTCCCTGGACTTGACTTTTTTACAATCCTCGAACATTCCTCCTGTAGGGGGGCATGCCCGACTTCATGCCAGACCTCCGCGGGCCCACTCGAGGTGGCCTGCCAGCCAGGCCCGGGGTGGCGTCTCGCCCGACCGGGGCCCCCCGCCCCTGAGCGAGCCCGCAGAGGTCTGCCAGGTGGACGTCTTCTGCCGCGTCGCGATCGCCATCGGCGCGGGGCCCGCCGCCATCGCGGCGGCGGCGGCTGCTGCGCCGGCGAGCGGCGCCCGCAAAAGGGCGCTGCCGCTTCCCCGCCCGCGCGCCCGCCCACCTGGAGCCCAGCGGCCCTCGTCCTACGCGCTCGCACAGCCCACCCGTGCAACGAGGGCGCACGGTGTGAGGATGCCAGGGCCCTGGGAGGCCGCGCCGGCGCTCTGCGAGCAGCACGCGGCCGGCGAGAGCGGCGCGGCCGAGGAGGGCCGAAGGGGCAAGGGTGCGAGGGTGAGCTTGGAAAGTCGCTCATCCTTGTGGATGCCATGACAGTGGGCACTCTCACCCGTCTATCATCGAATTCAAACTGTCTGCAGCATGTCTCCTACATGTTTCAAACATGCGCGAACCATGATCAAAGCGTGTCGTAGCACTTTAGAAACATAGTTTAAACATATTGTGCCATCTGGATGTTTGTTGGACAATAGAGAAGGGCAGGTCACTGGCCCTGGCCGCGAGCGCGCGAGGCGCGGCTGCCTTCGCAGCCCCTGTGGGTGACCTGGGCCACTACCCATCATACAGTCGGGGAGGATCGAAGAGGACACGCGAGAGGGCACAAGACTCTTCCCGAGGGCCACATTGCCAGATGAATGCAGAAGCATGGATCGCGAGGGCACAGGACACAAGGGCGCCCTTGATTTGGCAGGGTCGACCTACTAAGCAGCCTCGACCGTACTCCTGCTCCTCGCGGTGAGAAGCAGGATGATCATGGATGACGGCGCTGGTGGCACTGACGGGGGTGCCCACGGAGCGACCATCACAAGACGACTGTGGCACGCAGCAGCACGGATCGAGGACGACGCGCGCCATCCACGCGCACCTGACAAGATCTCGGCACGGCGCAGATCCCAACGCCATCCCAGCGCGAATCGGCGCCAAGTCGGGCCATCCAGTCCGCGCGAGGGTCGCGCAGAGGTCGCGCAGAGGCAGCCCAAGAGGGTGGGGGGGGGGCCCTTTCTGTGGAGGCCGGCACGGCGGCGGCCCGAACCGCGGGAGGCATCGGCCGGAAAGGCTCCGGGCTCCCCGCCCCCTGGCGCTGCCAGGAGAAGGAGGAGACGCGCGCGAGCCGGGCCCCTCTCGCGTCGGCCGCCGGCGGCCGTCCTGGCCTCCCGAGGCCTTCGGCCCCTTGGGGCTGGGCGCAGCGGCCGCGCTGCGCTCTCGTTGCGGCAGAGTCCGCAGCCTCCGCGGCCACTGCCGCGGAGGCGATCGGCCGCGTCGCGGATGCGGCCTGGGGCCGCGCTCGAAAAAGGCTCGAAAGACGTGCGTTGTGGCCTGGCGCGGCGGGGCCCGGGCAGCCCCGAGCGCAAGCCCGTTGCCGTCCCGTTGGGGTGCCGGTGCCGCCCTGCGCCGCCCTCCGCCGAGACCTGCCGCCCGCCTCCGCCGGCGGAGGCGGCCTCGTCCTGCCTCCGCGGGCTTCCGCCGCTCTCCCGCCGCCTGCCGCCGAGGAGGGGATGCCGGCTCCGTCGGTCCCCGAAGGCGGGGCTCTCTCTGGAGCGCCCAGCGTGGCGGCGGGAGCAGTCACACGACAGTGGGCGAAGGAGTTCCCGACAGCCGGCGACACAATGAGGCACAGAGAAGCAAGGGCCACCGCGCATGGCTGCCAACACGGGCAATCGAACAACTCGAGGGAGGTCGGGAACATGGCGCGAACAACAGCTAGTAAAGAAACTACATCAATCATGAGCTAGACGCCCGCAGAAGGGGCAGGAGGAACAAATACATGAGGCCAAGGAGGCAGATGAAGACCGCCAGGATGATGGTGGTGGCGATGGCGATGGCGGTGATGCTCGCGCCGCTCCAGGGAGGCACCGGCCAGGGCCAGCTGAGCCGAGGCAGCCACCCTCGGGGGCCGAGCGAGACCGCCGACAAACACACCATGGGCCACGCGAGCGACGCGGCCCCCGCGCGGAGGCACCCTGCCCAGGTCTCGCCACGGACGAGGACGGGCCAGGGACCCAAACCCCCTCCCCCCCGAGCTGACGAACCATAGGGGGGTCGGAAAAGGGCTATGGGTGCGTGTTGTCAGAGGGGGGTCCCCGCTCGAACGGGAGCGTCCCCTAGGGCCCGACAACCCGCGCCCATGCCCATAGCCAGTCCCTCTCCTCCCTCGTCCTCCTCGTCCTCCTCGTCCTCGTCCTCGTCCTCGTCCTCGTCCTCGTCCTCGTCCTCGTCCTCGTCCTCGTCCTCCTCCTCCTCCTCCTCCTCCTCCTCCTCCTCCTCCTCCTCCTCCTCCTCCTCTCCGCCCAACGACCCCCTCATGGGTATGGGTGTGTGCAGTTCGTCCGCCACGAGCCTCGGCCCCCGAGGCCACGTGCGCACCGGGCGAGCGCCCCGGGGAGGGACCGAGCGCGCTGCCCCCCCCCACGGCGGCCGCAGGGGGCGGCTGCCGAGTATAGGAGGAGCGCAGGACGAGGCCAGGCCGAGGACGACATCGGGTGAGGGTAGAGATCGTTTTTTTTTTGTTCCACTCATTCTTTCGATTCTTCATGCCGAGGCGTTTCTGGAGCTCGAATAACAAGCCCAGAGGGTCCGCATCGATAATATACTGTATCATGCTGGTAGGATCTTCTTGGCAGCTAGGGTGAGGGTAGAGATCGGGAATAAAGGGGCCTGAGACACACAGATAAATACACACAGATAAAAGGGTTCTCCATAGTTTCCCATGTGTTCTAGGCTTTCGTCTTCCCCACCACTTCCATTTTGTTCCATCTCTTCCTGGGGATCGACGATGAATGGTGTCTGTGTCTATTTTGTTCCCTCCTGAGGGAATCTCTGAGATCTGGCGGCTCTGGAGGACGCATCGGGCGCCGCGGCCCTACCAGAGCGCTCCAGAACGCTCCGAGAGCGCCCCGGGGAACTCTGGAACGGATGTATATCCTCGTCTCAGCTGCCCCGACCCGCGGCACGCAACCCGTAGCGTATGGATCTACGGAGCTCAGCACGCAGACTGCAAGCCCAGGTGTGATGCGATGCGTTGGCCAACACGTGGGCCGATACGCTGAGCCAGCACGCAACGTACAGCGGGGGCCGATGCACAAAAAACCTTCCACAAGAAGCGTCCGTTGATTTTTGGCGTGGGGACGTCCCGCTTCCAATCGCAGAACCATCGAAACCCAAGTGACCCAGGGCACCCTAGATCCAAGCAGGGTGTTTCTTTCGCACGGGCCTCTCCACTGTAATGACACGGACGTTGTAAGCAGGGCACGTGCTGCGTTTTTAAACGGAAGCATCGAGGCAGCCGAGATCCTCGCCCTAGCCTTAGGTCGGGCAGGTCCTCCTACAGGCGGATTTTGGGCGAACAATGAAACATAGTAAAACACATGGTCCAGAGCAGTCAAACATAATCCAAACATCGTACCCAGACTATTTTTGTTGACTGTTCTTGAAGATTCCTCCTGCACAGGGACATGCCCGACTGAATCCTACAAACCCCCGCGAAACTGAACGCAAGTTTGGCCGACCCCCCATCGCCCCCCAATGTCAGTGCTCACTCGCGCGCGCGACGCGCTGCGCGGACGCCGTCGGGAAATCTGAGGGCCACGTGCTTCGGCATCGACGTTGAGACTTTGGGGCCCCGGGGGCGCCTCGGCGCGGCGCGGGGAAACCTGCGCTCTCGCCACCGCTCGGACGTCCACTCCCTGCGTTTTGTTCGGTCTCGTGCGTGGCGTGCTTCGCCAAGTCATCCAGGATGCTCCTCGATGGCCCTCGCCGAAGGGAAACAATGCACCCCGCCCGAGCGATGCCACGTGCGTGTGCGCTTCGCGGAGGGGCGCGGCCCCGCCCCCGAGCCGCAGGAGAGCGCGTCGGCCCGGGGCCGGCCCCCTGCGCTCGGCGGGACGCGGCACCTCCCGCGCCTCGGGCGGCACGGCGGCGCCGCGGCGGCGCGGGCGGCGGCGGCAGCGGCGGCGCAGGCGTCGCGCGCGTGCCGTGCCGACTTCGGCGCGGCGGGGCTCCAAGCTGGCGGCGCAACTGGTGCCAAAAGGGGCGAGCGGCCGTTCCCGAGACGTCCAGACCGTTCCACGCCGGGCGATGCCGGGTCGCCCGCGGCGTTCAACGCTGGAGGCCGCTGGCGGGGTCGCCGCCAGTCGACACGACACGAGCCTACCGGGCCCGACCACGGGAGACCTTCCACGAGAAACCCAACCCTAGGAACAGACTAGAAGAAACGCCAGAAACATAAACTGTTGGCGCTCCGCGCGGATTTCTTGGATCTGCGCTGGACCCCCCCCTCCCAGGCGCGCGAAGCGCGCTAGAGGCGGCGCCGTTGGCGCCGCCCGGGGGGCCCCAGCGCGGACCCAAGAAATCCGCGCCGAAATGGCCCGAGGCCGCCATGCGAGTTCCGCCACTGGGACCGTAGTTGGAGCTCCCTATGGGGCCACGAAACGTTTGAGGGGTGTGCCGACATAGAGACATGCGGAGGGCAGAGGCAAGGAGGGGGAGGAGGAGAGGAGAAGGAGAAGGAGGAGGAGGAGGAGGAGGAGGAACGCGGGGCACCGTCTCTTCAAAACGAGGACCCAACACCACAGGATGGTTGGGAAAGAATTTAGACAAACATGGAGAAATCGTCCCCAGGCTATGTTTCAAACTGATGTTGCATCTCAGGAGGACACAGACACAAGTAATCGTCGAGTCCCGGGAAAATATGGGAAAATGGGGGGGAGGACGAAAAGCAAAAGAAAGGGGATTCCTGTTATTTGTGTGTATCGATTTGCGTGTCCTTGGGCCCCTTCAGTATCGTCCTCCTGCAGATGGGGCACGCCCCGCGGCAAGGCCAGGGCGGGGACCGTCGGCCTGCAGGCGGTAGAGCAGCGGCAGGGCAGCGGGAGGGGGGCGGAGCACGGGGAGTCCCCCCCCCGCACGGGGAGGCGGGGCGAGGGGCGGCGAGGAGAGGCCGGGAGACTCTCCATGGGATCCCCAGGGGATCCTATGGGATCCCCCCCCCCCTGGGATCCTATCCCCCCATGGGATCCCCCCCCATGAAGAGTCTCCCGAAGAGGGGGCCTGGTGGCTCGGGGGAGGGGGGGAGCAGCGACCTCCGGGCCGGGCGAAAGCGGGGGATAGCAGAGGGGGAGTTTGAGAATCAGCTCGCGCAGCTGGATTTCCCGGCGCCCCCCGAGGCGCCCATGTATCGAGGAGTGGGCCCGGCGGCGGGGCCGAAACCAGCTGCATGCAGCAGAATTCGTGACCAGTGACCCCCCCTTTCCCAATCCCTCCCTTTCGTCCGGCCCGAGATTGGAAAGCGGCGGTATACAGCGGAGGCCAGTGCACGAGAAACCGTCCACAAGAGATCCAGCCCTGAGACCCCAGGGCGTCCACGGCTTGTTGGCGTGGGAACGTCACGCGTTCCATGGCAAAGCCATCGAAAGCCAAAAAGCCCAAGGCACCCTGGATGCAAGCAGGGCGTTTCTTGGCATGGGTCTCCACTGTACCTCGTCCATAGATCGGCGACAGGTTCCCGATGGCGAATGCGCACTTTCCTGGGCGGGGTGGAGCCATCGGGCCGCCCTCGGGGATCAGTGGGCGATTGGAGGTCGATGCATGCCCCCCTGAGCCCATCCCCTCTTACCTTGGCGGCGCGCACAAGGGGGTAGGGGGAGGGGGAAGGCTTCTTAGGAGGAGGCTGCTTCTCAGCAGGCGCTGGCCCTACATCTACAGACAAGGCCCGCGCTGTCTGAGAAGCAGAGGTGCCCCTGAGAAGCCTTCCCTCCTCCCCCTACTCCCCTCTGCGCGTGGCCGACTAACCGCAGGTCGGGCATGTCCTCCCACAGGCGGATTTTCGAAGAGAAACGAGAAGTAGTCGAGAAAATGTTCAAACATATTCAAAACATTATCCCAGCACGACCCTACCTAGGAGTTGGAGCCCCTAGGAAAACAGCATTAGTAGTAACAGTAAAGCTAAGCTAAAGCTAAGCTAAAGCTAAGCTAAAGCTAAGCTAAAGCTAAGCTAAAGCTAAGCTAAAGCTAAGCTACAGCTAAGCTAAAGCTAAACTAAAGCTGAGCTACAGCTAAGCTAAAACTAAGCTAAGGCTAAGCTAAGGCTAAGCTAAAACTAAGTTAAAGTTAAGTTGAAGCTAAGCTGAAGCTAAGCTAAAGCTAAGCTAAAGCTAAGCTAAAGCTAAGCTAAATATAAATATAAAGCTAAGCTAAAGCTAAGCTAAAGCTAAAGCTAAAGCTAAACTGAAGCTAAGCTAAAGCTAAGCTGAAGCTAAGCACAAGCTAAGCTGAAGCCAAGCTAAGGCTAAGCTAAAGCTAAGCTGAAGCAAAGCTAAAGCTAAGCTGAAGCTAAGATACAGCTAAGCTGAAGCTAAAGCTAAGCTAAAGCTAAGCTAAAGCTAAGCTAAAGCTAAGCTAAAGCTAAGCTAAAGCTAAGCTAAAGCTAAGCTGAAGCTAAGCTAAAGCTAAGCTGAAGCTAAGCTAAAGCTAAGCTAAAGCTAAGCTAACGCTAAGCTGAAGCTAAGCTAAGGCTAAGCTAACACTAAGCTAAAGCTAAGCTAAAGCTAAGCTGAAGCTAAGCTAAAGCTAAGCTAAAGCTAAGCTAAAGCTAAGCTACAGCTAAACGAAAGCTAAGCTAAAGCTAAGCGAAAGCTAAGCTAAAGCTAAAGCTAAAACTAAGCTGAAGCTAAGCTGAAGCTAAGCTGAAGCTAAGCTAAATCTAAGCTAAGACTACGCTGAAGCTAAGCTAAAGCTAAGGTAAAGCTAAGCTAAAGCTAAGCTACAGCTAAGCTAAATCTAAGCTAAAGCTAAGCTAAGACTAAGCTAAACTTAAGCTAAAGCTAAGCTAAAGCTGAGCTACAGCTAAGCTAAAGCTAAGCTAAGGCTCAGCTAACACTAAGCTAAAGCTAAGCTGAAGCTAAGCTGAAGCTAAGCTGAAGCTAAGCTAAAGCTAAGCTAAAGCTAAGCTAAAGCTAAGCTAAATATAAATATAAAGCTAAGCTAAAGCTAAGCTAACAATAAGCTGAAGCTAAGCTAAAGCTAAGCTAAAGCTAAGCTAAAGCTAAGCTAAAGCTAAGCTAAAGCTAAGCTAATGCTAAGCTAGTGCTAAGCTAAAGCTAAGCTAAAACTAAGCTATCACTCAGCGAACACTAAGCTAAAGCTAAGCTAAGGCTAAAGCTAAAGCTAAAGCTAAGCTAAAGCTAAAGCTAAGGCTAAAGCTCCCAGGGGACTGGGGGAACCGCGGGGCGGGGACTGGGGGAACCGCCCGGGGCGATTAGAATTGCCCGGCCCATTTAGCTAACAGAGTAAGAACCCTTCTAGGCAGAGCCTAGGTAGGGACTAAGAAAGCTGTCCCCTGACTGCTTTTTTGAGGGACGTGCCCGACTTCAGACCAACCTTGCCCCCCATAGGAGGCAGGAGGCCTCGGAGGAGCTCTCGGAGTTCTGCAAGGGAGGAGGACAGGGGTCAAGCATGAGGAGAAGGAGGAGGGAGGAGGAGGAGGAGGAGGAGGAGGAGGAGGAGGAGAAGGAGGAGGGAGGGGGAGGAGACGGGGGAGGAGGGGAGGAGGAGGAGGAGGAGGAGGAGGAGGAGGAGGAGGAGGAGGAGGAGGAGGAGGAGGGGGAGGAGGAGCTCTCGGAGGACTCCGGTGCCCCAAGGCGCGGCCCAATCAGCCGCTCCCCGCGCCCGCCCGGCGAGGCCGGGGCGGCGCCCGTGCAGAGACGGCGCCGCCCACAAAAAAGTTTGCTCCGCGCACCAGCTGCACGCCCCCCCGGGCGCCGTGCGGCCGCCCCTGCTGCCCACAGCTTCGGGCGCCCGGAAGGGGTAGGGATACCCTGACCTTCCAGGAGGGCTAAGAAATAGCACCCGACCTAAAAACCTATCCCAAAGCCATTCTACGTCCTGGTTTTAGGCTGTTTCGCTCAGCTCTTTAGGTTTTTGGGTCTCCAGTGCTAAAAAATAGCTCTCTGGAAGGTCAGGGTAAAAGGGGTACAGTCGAGGGCTTGACCTAAGGAACCCTGAATAAGGAACGAGGCCCCTTTTTTCCATCAGTGACGCTTCGCTTTCCCCTCGAGAACCTTAGGAAAACCTGAGGCAAGCTGCGAAACGCCTAAGGAACGCGGAGCACCTCCCCAACGAAGAGGGTTCCTTCTTCAGGGCCCCGACTGTACACTGTACCATGCCACCATGCCCAACAGCACGTGTTGCCCAAGACCGACCGAGGCCACTGTTTGTCTTCTCAAGGAGCAACGTCCGCGGCCGCGGCGGCGGGGACATCGAGCCCCGGTCGAAATGAGCAGGAGCTGCTGTTGTGGATGGGCTACTTTTCCACCACCACTACCGTATGTAGGGCGGAGGGGAAGGGAGGATCAGGAGATCCTCCTCCTCCTCCTCCTCCTCCTCCTCCTCCTCCTACCCATGGTAGTGGTGGCGGAAAATGGGCCCATCACATTGGGCATCGTACCCCTCCTTTCTGTACCCATCTCGATCGTCCCGAGCAGCGCGGCCCCGGACCTCCTGCGCCCACGCGCCAGAAGAGAGAATCGCCGCCAGGGGGGGGGGCGCCAGCAGGGGAAACCAAAAGGTACCGATACCGCCCGCCAGTCCCCAGACATCTCCCGGGGCGCGTTCTGACCAGGATCTCGACCGGGCGTTGCTAGAAGTGCCCCTGGCCCCAGGTGCCCCCAGGATTTCCAAAGAGGCCCCCGCGGCCTCAAGAGCACCCCTCACGAGCCCAGAGGGCCCCAGGGCGCTCCAAAATTGAACGAAAAGCTGGAGAGCACCTTGAGCCAGGAACACCTGTGGCAACACCCGACTCGAGGCGACTCCAGCGGTGGCGACGAGGGCCACACGGGAGGCCCAGACATGGGCAAACTAGGGAAGGGTAAACGGCTTAGCGGCATGGGCTTCTTTAGGGCAAAAAACATAGCATAAACGCAAAAACTCTGACGTCCGCGCGGATTTCTCAGACCAGCGCTGGACCCCCCTCCCTGGCGCGTGAAGCGCGCTAGGGGCGGCGCCAGGGGGCCGCCAGGGGGCCCCAGCGCCGAACCGAGAAACCGCGTGGACCTCCAAATTTTTATGTTGATGCCATGGTTCGTTCCCCTATTCCTTTCCTCCTCTGAGCCCGCGGGCCCACGGGGGCTCCGAACAAAAGAGGGCGAAGCCAGAGCCCCGACGTCATGATTGTCGTTCCCAACGTCGACCCTCATGAGGTCTCGACCCACTCCCCACGACCGGCTTCTCGTTCTGAGTCGGCTTTTGACGGCCCCGAGGGCCCGCGAGGGCCTCCAAAGGCCGAAAAGATGGAAACACTGCCCGTCGGGATTGTTTCGTTCCCCGAGGGGGTCCGGGAAGCCCCCGCGCGGTGCGCAGCTTCCCTGCAAAAGGCGGGGCGGGGAGGAAGCCGCCGGGAGGCCGGTGCTCTCCTCGTGGCTCCTGGGGGGTGTGGGGGGGGGGGGGGCCTCGGGCCCACGGCGGGAGCGCCCACAGAGAGGGAG